GGGGGAAGGATATTGATGTGGGATCTGATATCTTATTCTGTATCTACTGCTTCATATGAAATTGGGTGATTTATGCAATTTCTCTGTAACTCTGTCCCCTCATCTGTAAAGTCAGCATAAGACATCAGACTTCAAAGTTATTGCCTACCAAAGTATATACTCAATCAACAACAAATATTCTTGGCTAAACTACTGTATCACCTCAGCACTAAAATGGCATGCAAAAGAAGCTCAATTCTATGTTCCCATGCCTTTTATTCAACTACTAGAGGCCCAGTGCACAAACATTTGTGCACTCAGGGAGGTCCCTCAGCCCGGCCTATGTAGATTTGTATATTTGTTTGTTTGTTCCCCCCACGTACCATATCATTCAGGGTTCAGGATCTGGAAGAGGGGCCACACACAAATAAAAGATAAAAGACAAGAGATAATTTAGAAATATTGGGAGGCCAGTGGGGCAAATCCAACTCAAGGGGAAGAACTTCCACTGGTGCTCAGGCCTCACTAACCTTTTATTGGTTTGGGATACACCCATAGCCCTTAGGCAGGCAATTTCCAGTAACAGGCAGACTTGCCCTTTAGCAAGATTTACATAATAATAAATGGGGAAGTTGATTCAGCTACCATTGTCTGGACAAACAGTGGATGCACAGCTCTGACCTTTGCCAGAGTTTCAAGGGTCACCAGCCTACCGGGTTCCTTGTCCACACCTCTCTGCTAGTGAAGACAATAGGCAGCTTCATACACTGGCCTATGCCTTCTTGCAGTCTGGGACCTCTGGGAGGCTGTCCACCTGCTGGCTTACGCCTGCTCCCTGGGGGATTGGGCTCAAGCTGGCAGTCAGAAATCCCTCTGGCAGCCTCACAGCCCTCGGGGGATGTCCACCTAACAGCAGGGAGCAAACCTAATCTGCAGTCGGACATCCTTAATGCTACTGAGGAGGTGGGAGAGGCTCCCGCCACTACCACTATGTTGGCAGCCATCAGCCTGGCTTGTGGCTGAGCAGAGCTGCCCTTGTGGGAGCACACTGACCACCAGGGGACAGCCCCTGCATTGAGCATCTGCCCCCTGGTGGTCATTGTGTGTCATATTGACCAGTAATTCCCAGTCTTTATGCTGTTAGGGTCAGTTTGCATATTACCCTTTTATTATATCGAATAGAGGCCTGGTGTACGGGTGGGCCTGGCTGGTGTCCTGGATCAGGGTGGGGGTCCTGCTAGGGTGCTTGGCCAGCCTGGGTGAGTGACTGATGGGTGTATGCAGCTGGTCACACCCCCTTCAGGGTGGGGGTCCCCACTGGGGTGCCTGGCCAGCCTGGGTGAGGGGCTGATTACTGTTTGCAGGTTGGTCAAGACCCCCTCCCAGTGGGGACCCTCACCTCATGGAGGTTTGGCCAGTCTGGGTGAGGGGCTGAGGGCCGTTTTCAGGCTGGCCAAGCCCCCCAGCAGTGGAAGCTCCCAGCCTCTCCTTTTTTTCTTTTTCTTTTTATTCTGGGATTTGTTTACCTTCTATAATTGAAACTTTGTAGCCTTGAGTGGAGCTCAGAGCCAGCCAGGGTGGGCAGGCAGGAAGCCTGGCTTCCTCCATCGCCAGGGACAACCCAAGCTTCCTGCTTGCTCCAGCTCAGTGGCCATGGCCAGCTAAAAGCAGGTATCTGGGGTTTATTTATCTTCTAAAATTGAAACTTTGTTGTCTTGAGTGGAGCTCAGAGCTGGCCACGGCAGGAGGGAAGCTTGGCTTCCTCCATCACTGGGGCAACCAAGCCTCCTGCTTGCTCCAGCTCCATGGCTGCCAGCCGCCATCTTGGTTGGGTTAATTTGCATATAGTTGCTCTGATTGGCTGGTGGGTGTGGCTTAAGGCATAGCGAAGGTAAGGTCAATTTGCATGTTTGTCTCTTATTAGTGTAGGTTGTATATTTTAAAAAGAATTCTTATTTTAATAATTTACTACTGGTCTTTACTGCCTCACAGTATAATACTGGTGTACATGTTCACACTTAACAAAGATATCAATTATAAAAAATATTTCCTATGGAACCTGTTTAAATTGAATTTTGCACACATAATGAGCTTTGATATAACTCATATATCATCAAATCTCACCCATATCCTCCAGGAAATTTGATAACAACAGATTCATAACCAACTTCCTTTCTCTTCATTGGTGTCTAAAACTGAAACAGAATGATATGGTCACTTCTCATCTCTCCAGAAATCACCTGCCCACCGCCCCCTGGTATCGACAATGGGGCACACACAGGGAGTTCCTCAGAAGACTTTCCATATGGAACCACCGTCACTTATTCCTGTAACCCTGGGCCAGAGAAAGGAGTAGAATTCAAACTCATCGGGGAGAGCACCATCCGTTGTACAAAAGATGGTCAGGAGAGGGGCATCTGGAGTGGCCCTGCTCCTCTCTGTAAACTTTCCCTCCCTGCTGTTCAGTGCTCACATGTCTACATTGAAAATGGATACCAGATATCGGGCAAGGAAGCCCCGAATGTCTACAACGACAGTGTGACAGTCAAGTGTGTTGATGGGTTTACTTTGAAGGGCAGCAGTCAGATTCGTTGCAAAGCCAATGACACCTGGGATCCTGCAATACCCGTTTGTGAGAAAGGTAAACAGCCCAATGGGGGGAAAATAAGGTATTTACTTACTATTCTCATCTCCCACCCAAAACTACACTCATGGAGAAAGTCAATGGGGCACAGATTACTATCCTATTTCTTTTATCTGTAACCATGTTCCGTGTGTGTTATGTATGTTCTTTATGTGAAGGCTCTTATATCCAGAATATATTCAAGGTGGATACTGAGAGGACCTGTTTAAAGAAGTCTAAAGAGCAGACAACATTCAGTAATGAATTAGAGCTTTATGATCCTTAGCTAAGATGTTTAAGATTATCTGTTGTCAGATGTTGTACAGTGAATGTTCTTGAGTATAAGTTCTTTTGTTGGTATTTATGTGGGAAGTTTTTCCTTCAGACTGCCAGCCACCTTCGGGGCTGCACCACGGTCGGCATACGGGCGGAAATAGGACCCTCTTTGTCTCTGGGATGACTGTAGACTACACCTGTGACCCCGGCTACTCGCTTGTGGGAAACAAATCCATTCACTGTATGCCTTCCGGAAACTGGAGTCCTTCTGCCCCTCGGTGTGAAGGTACTTTAGCTCCAGAGTTGCCTTCCCTTTGATAGCAAGCATGTGTGAGTAATTCCAGCTGTGCTCCTCCAGAAGCGCCATGTGAGCCCACGGGAGAAGATGTTCAAGAGCTTCCAGCTGATTCGCATGTGGTTCTAGTTAATACATCCTGTCAAGATGGGTGAGTATGAGATGACCCATCCAGAGAGAGTCCCCACTTGGTTTAGTGCATTAGTTGCACCCTCAGCTTGTCTTGGTGACTCTTTTTGCAGCTCCTCACTGCCACACTCACAGACTATGAAGTTCCAAAAGTCTAAGTAGCATCTCTGACTTGTTAGTTCTTTTTAAAAATATATATTTCATTGACTTTTTATAGAGAGGAAGGAAGAGGGATAGAGATTTAGAAACATCAATGAGGGAGAAACATTAATCAGCTACCTCCTGCACACCCCCTACTGGGGATATGCCCGCAACCAAGGTACATGCCCTTGACTGGGATCGAACCTGGGACCCTTCAGTCCGCAGGCCGACTCTCTGTCCACTGAGCCAAATTGGTTAGGGCTGTTCTTTTTGACATGGAAATAGCTTTGCTGTCATCTAAAGAAGTTTGCTTACTGGGAGAGTCAAGGATTTTCATTGCTCTGTACTGAAGTTCTTATGTAGAAGTTCCTCTGTATTTGTGGTATGAGGAAGTGAGGTTTTAGAGAGGTGATATTGGGAAAAAGAAATGTATGATAATCTCTCTCTAGGTATCAGCTGACTGGACATACTTATCAGAAGTGTGAAGATACTGAGACTGGGGTTTGGTTCCAAAGGATTCCACTTTGTGAAGGTAAGAGAAAAATTAAAGTTGCAAATGGGATAGTTGGGGATTCGAGAGGACAGGCTACCTAAGAACTAGGGGGTGGGCAAACTTTTTGACTCGAGGGCCACAATGGGTTCTTAAACTGGACCGGAGGGCCGGAACAAAAGCATGGATGGAGTGTTTGTGTGAACTAATATAAACTCAAAGTAAACATCATTACATAAAAGGGTACGGTCTTTTTTTTTTTTTTTAGTTTTATTCATTTCAAATGGGCCGGATCCAGCCCGCGGCTGTAGTTTGCCCATGGCTGAACTAGGCTGTAACTACCTCAACAGTCTACATGTTCTATCTCAATATATCTAAGATAAGAAATGGCTTTCTCAGTTTGTTCAACACTCTTTTGGGCAAGCAAAGTTGTCAAGTAGGAACTGAGTATTTTGCATACATCTGCTAATCAAGATTTTAAAAACACACAAATATAGCCTATATTTATAGCTTATTTTTAAATTTTTTGGAATGAATATATATTATTCAGAAATGTTAACAAAGCTGTTTTGATGAGAACAATGCAGGTTGTAAAGCTAAATAATTGTATCGTTATGTGTCATACATGCAGTCACATAGTTTTATTTGCACCCGAATGATGACTGTCCGCCTTGGTACAGTAGCTGAAGCAGCATTTCCCGAATCTCTTCTGCAGCTATTCACTGTCCAGCTCCACCAGTGATTGACAACGGGAGGCACACAGATGTGATGGCAGAACGCTTTCTATATGGAATTGAAATCTCTTATGAATGTGACCAAGGATTCTCTCTTCTGGGAGAGAGAAACATACGATGCATAAGTGATTCTGAAGGACATGGATCTTGGAGTGGACCTCCCCCGCGGTGCTTAAAACCTCCTCCTGTGGCCCACTGCCCTAACCCAGAAGTCAAACATGGATACACGCTGAATAAAACCCGTTCGTCATATTCCCTCAATGACACTGTATATGTTGCCTGCAACCAGGGTTTCATCATGAATGGCAGTGACTTGGTTAGGTGCCATGCCAGTAACAAATGGGTGCCAGGTGTACCAACATGTATCAAAAAGGGTAAGTTATTTTTGATAATTAACTCAGGGATTTTGCTCAGAATAAGGAAACATTTTTTAAATCTGCACTTGCCATTTGAGCTAAAGAAAAGCATGTAACTGCTAAGACAGTTGTATTGTTTTATAAGACACCTACCTAATCTTTTTGCCCAATTCTTTTCCCCCCTTTTCCTTTCTAAGTATGGTGAGAAAAAGTACATGAGAGAATAATGTGACGGTGTCTACAAAATTTATTGTTTTCATTAATTTAGAATAAGAAAAATGCACCTATCTTATTTTGGGGCAGATGTGGGCAATAGTATTGCTTGGTAATTTGCTATCTAAGGCCAAAATCCAGCCAGTATTTCAGTATGTTCTTTAGAGTGAAGCTGACTTTTAAACTCATTGAATTATCTTTCTTATAATATAGTTATCATTTGGCACTTTTATACACTTGTAAGTTATAAGTGCTTACAAGTTTGACTGGGACCTCTAAAAGTATGTTAAGCAAACTGTTATAATAGTTAATATTTGCATTTAATCTGAGAAATCTCTGATTATACTGAGTGTATTATTTTTTTTTAGTTGGTGAGCTACTGCAATTTACTGAAAGCGAAAATTTTTTTTAAGTCCAGTGAGTTGTTACATAAGAAATAAAGAAGCAGTGGGTAGAATTCAGGCTTCCACTATACCTTTTCAAGTAGACTTAGAGGGAGTGGGGCTGAATGGGACATTGCCATGGGGCTTTGGACTACATTGAATCATGCAGCTACCAGTAGACTAATATGTTTATGATTTTGGATTCTCCTTAGGGTCACTTGCTCCTCTTCTTGGTGGTAAGTCTTCCCAAATACTTTAAGTGTATATATAT